TGGTGATGTTCTTCTGGAATCTCAGCTCTTGGCAGGTTGAGGTAAAAGGATCAGAATTCAAGGTTAACCTGAGCTACAAAGGGAGTTTGAGGTCAATTAGGGCTATGTGAGAGAGACCCTGTCAGAAAAAGGAAGAAAGGAAGGAAGGAAGGAAGGAAGGAAGGAAGGAAGGAAGGAAGGAAGGAAGGAAGGAAGAAAGAAAGGAAGGAACCCAAAACAACAACAACAACAAAACAGACTAAACTCCTTATTTATTTATTTTTAAATGTTATTTTCGGCCACAGAAGCTCCTAAGTCACAGTGATAAGATATTAGCAAAGGCAATAGATGTTTTGTTTAAAATGGTGTGGGAACTCCTTAAGATGATAAGCATGGTCTTTTGATTTGGAACCCATTGGTTTCTTTGGATATGATAAAGGAAAAGTGTAGAAAATGCAAGCTTTCTTTCCACTTGGGTTTAACCAACAGTTGCCCAGGAGAAGATGGCCGCCCCAACAGTCTCCTGCCTGTCCCGACAGGTTCAGGGCTTCAGTACTTCTGTGGCCAGGCCCTTTGCCAAGCTTATGAGGCTTGTGAGTATATATGGCATCGAACGAAGGGCACTATGCCACTGTCCTTTAATCTGTGACATCTAAACAGAATAAGCTGGACCAGGTGGAATAGGAGTTGCTGCAATGGGACAACTCCTGAGGGATCCCAAGGTGTCTCTGCTGTCCTGACTTCCTACATCAAGCGATTCATCAACGTGAAAAGCCTGAAGGACATCACAACAAAGGAGAGCTTTTCTCACTGATGGCCAACCTCATGAATTTACTTACTGAAACGGCCATCTAAGAACACCCAGGAGGTCATCTCTGCCTTTCCCACCATTGTGAGTGTTCTCCGTGTGGAAGTACCATGCACGGTGACCACAGCACCTCCTTTAGATGATTTTATGTGGTCCTGGAGACGAAGCTCAGGACTTCATGAACACTAGGCAAGCATCTACCCACTGAGCTACATCTCCAGCCTTTTGTCTAGCTAACCGACAACCTGGAAGTCCCACTATCATGACACTCAGAAGTTTAGTGTGTGTGAATCTGTTTTCTGAGCACTAGAATTACATTATGCCCAGCTTATACATTATACTTTTTTTGTTTTTGTTTGCTTTTCGAGACAGGGTTTCTTTGTGTGGTCCTGGAAGTCCTGGAACTCACTCTGTAGACAAGGCTGGCCTTGAACTCACAGAGATCTGCCTGTCTCTGACTCCCAAGTGCTGGGATTACAGGTGTGTGCCACCACCACCTTGCTACATTATACTTATAAAATTCGAATTAATGCTCCCAATTTCAGATTGATGGAGTCTTTGAGATGATATTTGTGCATAGAGGGTTTCCTGGCTTTTCAGATGATTCTGGAACTGAGGTTCCTCTCACCATTCTGGTCGTTTGGAATTATTCCTCTAAATATCTATATTACTATTTTTTTCAAGACAGGCTTTCTCTGTGTGGCTTTAGCTCTCTTGAACTTGCTTTGTAGACAAGGCAGGCCTTGAACTCACCGTGATCTACCTGCTTTGGCCTCCCTGAGTGCTGGGATTACAGGTGTTTACCACTATGCCCAGCTTGTATTCCTATTTTTTTTTTTTTAATGTTGTGCTGGGAACTGAAACCAAGGCTTTGCACATGCTAGAGACACACGCTATCATTGAGTTATAACCCTCATACTGACTGGAAAATTTCAGAAATACATATTTTGGGGGAGAAAAAGAGGTCATTCTCTATCTCATCCTTGACAGAGGTTTTCTCACAGATTCTCAGCCTCACTCTGTACCACAGCAGAGATTTCTCTCAGGGTTTAGGAATTTATCTGTTAACAATTTTTCAGATGATTTTTATATGTGCTGTGCTTACATCTGGAAACCATTAACCTAGGGGGATAAATTTTTGTTGTTGATGGTTTTTTGAGACAGGGTTTTTCTGTGTAGCAGCCTTGGCTGTCCTGGAACTTTCTTTGTAGATCAGGCTGGCCTCAAACTCACAGAGATTCACCTGCCTCTGCCTCCTGAGTACTGTGATTAAAGGTGTGGAATACCATACTCCATTTAAATACTTGTTTTTTTTTTATTTTATGTGTGTTTTATTTTATGTGTATTTATTATGTGTTTTTCATGTGCCTGAGTACATGTCTGTGCATTATTTGTGTGCCACCATGTGGGTGCTGGGAACCCATGTCCTCTGGAAGAGAAGCCACCTAATAGTTAAGTATTCTTAATTACTGAGGATCTTTCTAGCCCCTAGGGGAATATTTTATAAAAGTAAAGTTCCAACATCATTTGAGTTGTTGGATTCGTTCCTACAACAAACTACAGACCAGAACTTCAAGGAATATCACATAAAATCCTAATTATAAAAGACCCTATATAATTTCAGAAGACTAGTAATTAACAAGCCTACTAGTGGGATTGTACACCTTTTTGTTGTAAATTACATGTGTGAAATGTCTCAGTGAAGTATATGTGTAAAGTATCTCTAAGAATTCTTTGATGAATACTGCCTAATTTTCATTTGCTTTCCATAAATTAACCAGCAGCCTGAAGCTTTTACTATGTTAGCCACATGCCAGTCTCCATAACCTCAAGCATTCTCCGAATAAGCTGTATTTCTTGCGTAGAAGAAAAAGGGCTTAAACTTCACGGAGCTGGTTAACCACACAAAAGGCTGAAGACGCAGCTCAGCGCATAGATGCTTGCCTAGCAGGCATGAAGTCCTGAGCTTCCTCTCCAGCATCACATAAAATCAGGCGTGCTGGCAGAGTGTGCTGTCTCAGAAAGAGGAGGCAGGATGACGTCCTTTGTCACACAGCAAGTTTAAGCCAGCTTGGGCTACAAGAGACTGTTGCAGGGATAAGCCCTCCCCCAAACTAAACAAAACCAAACCCCACTAATTTTTTTGGTTATCAAAAGAAAATATGAATTCTTCAGCCATGGAGATGTTTTAAAATAATAAGTAAAGGCATATATTTGGATGAACAGGGTATACAGTGTCCTAAAGTCCCAGGCGCCTTAAGTTTTTCTAGTTTTATAATCTTATAATGTGACTAAACTACTTCTGAACTTAACTCATCAACAATCTGCTTTCATGTTTAACAGTTAGGCTTGGCAAGAATTCCTTGGCCTTTTGAGATAACGTATGAGCATCTTGCGACCACTTTACAGAAAGAGTTAAGATAGACTAACAGCAAAGAAAATTATTTAATTTGATATTATACACCCAGATAATTCAGTTGCTAATATAATTTTTTTCTTTTCTTTTGTTTGACCAAGCAGGTTGGTTAATTCCTCTAGTTACACCACTTAGTTACGCTTCTTTCTCATACCTTGATAATTGTCACTCCTGATTGTTATCAGTTATCTTTTTCTTTCCTTTACAAATTACAGTTAAGCAAGAAGGTCACTTACCTTGGAAGTTTTCTTTCTCTTCTTCCTACTCTCCCCCCTCCCCCATCTTTCTCCAGCACAGAGTCTCACTAGATAGTCCTGTGTGATCTGGAGCTCTGTATCTAGAACAGGCTTGCAGTCAGCTTGCAAGGATTCTTGCACCTGTCTCCTGAATGCTGGTAATACGGACATGCTTCAACACACTGTACTTGAAGGTGTTGCTTTTTACAGCCACTTGCATTGTGCTCATGCTGAGTAAAAAAGAAGAAAATACCCATATACAAGTTGAACCTTTCATATAATGTAAGAATGAGCTTCAAACCACCTTTCTTCAAAACTGACCATCTCTTTTTGATAGAGAACTTAAGGGGTGAATTCTCATAAAAGGATCGTAACACTAAAGATGATTCCGTGAAACTGTAATACAAGTCTGTCACAAAACTTTGAAACATAATTTTTATCTTTCCAGAGATCATGGGGGAAATCTGGCAATTTCAAACATGTGACTTCATCTTCATTACCGTATTTGGATTTGCTCGACAGTGTCTGGATTTGGTTCAAAGTAGCTGGAGAACCAGGAAGCTAATACTCTTCTCTCAGGATATCATACTTTTTGAATGACAGTGGAATGGACTGGTGGGTTAATGGGTAGATTTTTTGGAAATATTAGTGATTTTGCCTTTTTTTTTTTTGGTGTGTACTGATAAACTCTTTGCACAACACTGCAGAGAAGTAAAGAATGCAATGTTAAGGTGGAGAAACGGTGCAGCAAGGCTGAAGCAATAAAAAGAACAGCGTTCTAGTCCTTACATGTCGAATCTCCAACCTTGTGAGCTTCGCTCTACAGTCAAGGAGACCGAAGAAGCTATTTCACTCTCTTCCAATACTTTTTGGTGAAACAGAAATGTCAAATAGTGTGCGGGAGAAGCACTTTACTGACGGAGGTATGTTCACCCCAGGAACTGTATCTTTCTTATTTTTGAAAGACGTTTTTCTTCGTGATATATACGGTGGTTGCAATTTCAGCAATGTCAAACCTCAGGTAAGAACTAATGATTTGTCAACAAAATCAAAGGTTTTTAAGTGAGTGCCGATACGTAGGTGTCAGGGAAAAAAACGGTTTGGAGGTCTACTACCTCCAAATTAACCTTAAAACCCGTTAAAGACACGGTTTCGGATTCCAACGATTTGTGAGTTGGCATCACTTTGCAGGGGTTAAGACTGAAAACTTCGAGCAGGGTTGGGAAGGCCGTGGCGCCAGCAATGGGGATTTTTCTAAGGCTGCTGAGGAAATATGCTGCAGAAGGGAAACCGCCTCAAGTCCCCACGAGCGGTCTTCGCGGCCGCCTCAGGTCAGCCGCGCACCGGCGAGGACAGCGCCCCGCACACCCTAGGACGCGCGCCGGGCCGCGGAGGTGGAATCTCCGGGTCAGCCCGTAGCGTTGACGGGCGTCGCGGCGAGCCAATGGGTGTGCCGGAGGGGCCCGGGGGGCGGGATTTCCCGTGCGGCGGCCGCTGGTCGCCCGGCTGGGGCGGCGGCGCCTGCGAGAGGGTGGGCCGGGTCAGCTGCTGCGGGCGGGGCCGCGCGCGGAGCTGTGGGCGGCTGCCGAGAGTCCCGCCGCCGCCCAGCCTTCGCCACGATGCCGGGGATCGACAAGCTGCCCATCGAAGAGACGCTGGAAGACAGCCCGCAGGTGAGGCGGGGGCGGCGGGCGGCGGCGGCCTAGCGCGGGCCTGCAGCCTCAGGTGCCCGCGGCCCGCCGGGGTGGGCCTCCGCGCGGGCCCGAGGGGCCGGGTCGCGGGTGGAGGCCGAGCGGCCGCCGGCCTCGTCTCCGGTGCGGCCTGGCGCTTGCGTCCGCGCCGCGTCTCCTCGGCGTTTCTCGGGAGGAGCTGCTCTTACCGCGGTGGTACGACGGGCGCTAGTGCGGGCCGGCGGGGGCCGCGGGGCCCGTTTTCCTCGGAGGGGCTGCGAGGCGGAGTGTGCGTCGCCCGTGGACGCCGGAATGCGCGCCCTGCTCCCCGCCGTGGGTCTGCGTCCGAGTCTCTGGCCGGTGGCTGTCACTTGAGCTGCGCACCGCGGGCGACGGAGCGCGCCTACGTTCCTTCGCGGCTGCCGAGCCTTGGGTTGCAGACTTGGCCCGAATAAACTCATCAAAATAAAAGCCCTGTTTTTTTGTTTGGTTTGTTTGTGCGTTAGGGATGATGCTGGTGCGGTTGCTCTAGCAGAAGACAGTTTGGGAAAATAAAACCGTTGGATTTCTTTTTCAGTATTGAATGAAATCAGTTGTATTTTTAAAAAGGTGTCGGGGCCTCTAACTTGCACTATGCCAGCCTTTATATATAGTAATGGGTATAAAACAACGTAGCTCGTGGATTTTTTAAAATATTACTTGCTGAGGAATACATATTTCATTTGCAGAGCCTTCCTCCCTCTGATAAAGAAAGGAAAAGAGAAGGGCTAGCGCTTGTTTTCCTGGATGACACTTTTGTTATGGCTTTTGTGCCAATTTTGATTTCTAGGTTGAAATTGGGCTCTGATTGTAGAATTGATTTATTCTTTTCTCTGAAAGCTATCTTTGTAGGCCAGTTGCTGGGAGGTAATGTACTCTTATCAGACAATGTGAGAAACAGAAACCCACATTTTGCTTTATCTCATAACCAGTTTACGTTTTGCTTAATGACTTTTTCAGTGTAAAGTCTTAAGCTATATTTGTTTCAGATTGGCAACAGTTTTGTGGTTGTATTAGAATTTTAACGTTTTACTTTTTCAAAATTAAGACTCGGTACACTGTCTGAGCTTCTTTTACCCAGCCTACTTTTTATAGCCCATAAAGACTATAAAAAGATTGGATTACACAGTGCCCTATCTGTGACTTTCAATGTAGAGATAATCTTTAAATTTCTGTGTGATTAGTTTACACTTGAATCAGCCTCATTATGTAGCCCAGGCTGGCCTCAAACAGGACCTACTCCAGCCTGTCTTCTGAGTGCTGATTGTAAGCTTGAGCCACAGATACTTTCAGTCGTTGTTGTTGTTTAATTTTTTATGTATGTAGACATTCACTTGCATGTGTTCATGTGTCACTTGCCTGCCTGTTTTCCACAGAGGACCCCTTGGCACCGCTGGTTGTGAGCCTTCATGTGGGTGCTGGAAATTGAACCTGGATTCTCTAGAAGAGCAGTCAACGTCTTAACCTCTGAGCTCTCTCCAGCCCCTGTTTTTTCATTTAAACAACGATTTCTTTGGTACTGGGGACTGGATCCAAGATCTGCACTTGCTGGGCAAATGCTGTACCACTAAGATAAATCCTCAATCTTGCTTTTATTTATTTAATTTTTGTGTGTATATGTGTTGTGTGTGTCTGTTGTACTTCTGTGATTGTGTGCTCATGCGCATGGAGGCCCAAAATTGATTTATCTTATTTGATTGCTTTCTATTTATTGATTGAGGCACCATCTTTCTCTGAATCCTCCGTTTGCTAATTCAGATAATCTAGCTAGTCAGCGTGCCCTAGGTATCCTGTCTCTGTTAAATGCTGAGAGTACACGACCTCCGCACCAGGTTTTACACAGTTTCTGGGGAATCTGGACTCTGGTCCTCAAGCTCTCAGGGTCAGGGCCTTACTCTGCTAGCCACCTTCCCAGCCCTGTTCTATTTGGTTCTGTGTGTGCTGGTACTCTTGGATGTGTATGCAGAGGCCAGAGGATGACCTCAGGTTCAGTTCCTCCTCAGCCTCTACCTAGCTTGTTGTTTTGAAATAGTGTCTCCCATTGAGACCTGGGTCTCTCCTGGGATCATGCAGGCTAGGCTGGCTGGGCAGTAAGCCCCAAGGATCTACTTGTCTCTGTCTTTCCAGTATTGGGATTGTATGCAGCTGCCCCTATACCCAGCTCTTCACATGGGTGCTTTATTAGCCTAAATGTCTTCACAGTATTCTGAATTAAAAATTTCAACACTGCACTTAAGTGATATAACAGACTTACCTTTTAAAAATATTTTATTAGCCTGTGTTAATAACACAACAGTGAGTTTTATTATGTTTCCATTTTTACTATATTTGCCCCTCTTACCTCTTGTTTCCCCTTTCTCTTCCCAGCTAGACCTTAGGCCCTTTGTTTTGTGTTGAGAGGAAAACTTGTGTTGTTCAGGATAGCTTGAGAGATTCCCCCTGCCTCAGCCTCCAGAATAGTTGAGACTGCAGCTGGTGCACCACAGCCAGCTCCCATTGTTGACCTGGAGAGTTTTTCCAAAATTCTGCTTTTATGAATAGGGATGAGGTGAACGCTTTTGTGTATATATTTTATCTCAGTTTATCTAGAAAATAATTCAATAGATTAACAAAGAATGTACAAACTTTCAAAGCTTCTACTGTAAAAAAAATTTTTTTTAAAGAAATTAGATCTTTCAATCCTAACCAAAAGTGACCCACTGGGCTGAGGATATAGGTCGGTGGGAGAAGTCCGGTCTTAGAGTCTCCTTGCTGAAGCTCCACCCAGCCCCAACACAGTGGCCTGCTAGCTGCACAGTAGAGAAGTTAGAGCTTGGAAGACATGGGGCCCTGAATTATGATCATCTTTTTAAGATTTGTTTTTATTGTTGGGGCTTGAATCCAGCTATATCGCTGGCTTTTTTTGTTTGTTTTGTTTTGTTTCTTTGAAAAAGGGTTTCTCTGTGTATCCCTCCCTGGCTCTCCTGGAACTCTCTGTAAAACAAGGCTGACCTAGAACTCAGAGATCCACCTGCCTCTGCCTCCTGAATGCTGGGATTAAAGGTGTGTACCACTACTGCCCTGCTCTCTGGCTCTCTTTAAAAAGTTTTGATTTACAATAAAGTTTGCACAGTCCAAATCTAACTAATTTAGCATAAGGGTATTTAAAGTTACATACCCCAAACATACCAGTCTGGCAAAAGATCTGAAGAAGAAGAAATTTTAAGCCTCTACTAGGACATGTCTTGTCTGTGTTTTAAAAATAGGAAACACAGTGAATCTTGCTAATTTATTATTATTATTATTACTGCTATTTTTTGGTTTTTCGAGACATGGTTTCTCAATGTAGCCCTGGCTGTCTTGGAACTCACTCTGTAGGTCAAGTTGGCTTTGAACTCAGAGACCTTCCTGCTTCTGCCTCCTGAGTGCTGGGATTAACGTGTGCCACTACACCTGGCTTCCTCCATCTTTTTAATGTTTTAAAATAGCACTTGGGAGACAGGAAGTGGAACACTAGAGTCTGTTACATCGGCCGTTTGTGGTGCTGCTTGTACTTTCAGCCACTAAGAAGCTAAGAAGCCACTAAGAGGCAAGATGATAAGAGGGAAAAAAGGAAAGGCTGGGAGAAGTAGAGAACTGAGACTGTGGACTCTGTCCCAGAAGCTCTTGTGCCACACCCCACACCTATTTGTTTAAGTTCCTCCTTTGACTAGAGGAAGTCAGTGAGTAAAAATAAGTCTGTCAGGTGGGTGGCGTACTTCTGTAGGCTCAGCAGCTCGGTGGTGGAAGCAGGGTTGCCCTGACTTTGAGGCCAGCTTGCCCATATCTTAAAATGAACCAATTATGTGTGTTGTGGCTGTGTTTGTGTAGGAGAGTATCGTCCTTTGGATTTTAATTGTTCCCTACTTTTTTTTTTAACATATGGCCATCATGCTTTGCTCCTGTTTTTAGGTTAAGTTAAAATAATTTTAATTTGTAAAGGCACAGCTTTGTTCTTCTTGCTTATGTTACTTTTTTTTGTTGATGTTGTTCTTTGAGGCAGTTTCTTTGTAGCCCTGGCTATCCTAGAACTCCCTCTGTAGACCAGGCTGTTTTCAAAATCACAGAGATCCTCCTGCTTCTGCCTTCCAAGTGCTAGGATTAAAGGTGTGTGCTACTATGCTACTTCTTTAATGAAAGAGTAAAACCCTTTGACTTCTTGACAGTGTGTAAATAGATTAAGAATCAAAATTACTAGAGTTCTCGTATTTTACTGCTTTTTAAAAAAGTATTTCCTCATCTCACTTATGTATTGATTTATGTAAACTTTTTATTTTTTCAGACAAGGTCTTTACTGGGTGTATTTGAAGAAGATGCTACTGCTATTTCCAATTATATGAACCAGTTATATCAAGCTATGCATCGGATTTATGATGCACAGGTAAAGAACTAAGAGGCTAACACAATACTGCTTAAAAATGAATCTCTTAGCACATGAGGACAGAATAGTGTCTGCTTGGTTTACTGTGTACCTCACTTGTTCTTAGACACAGAGTAGTTTCTCTTGAAAGGATGAATGAATACTCAGAATGTTACAGAACTTACATTTCAGTAAGTTTCCCATTTCTTCAAACATAGAGCTTTCTTACTGGAGTACACTGATAATGAATGGACTGAAGACCCCATATTATTATATTTTCATTAATCATGCTTTTAACTTTAAGGAATCCCTGTTGTTGTTGTTGCTGTTTTGTTTTGAGTAAAGGCTTGGAAAGTAGCCAGCCTCTAGTTAGTAGAAGACTATGACTAATTTTTCCTGCATAATAGACATAAAATTTGAGGTTATATTTGTGTAATTTATAAGTTTTAACAGCAGGTTGCATTCTATTGACATACTTTGAGATTAGTTAAGTGTATTTAATTCCTATCTATGCTATGACAGTATTCCCCCCCCCCCTTGTGATAGGTTTGACAAGGCTTCATTCTAGCCACAGTTCAGTTAATTAGTGAAATATTATTTTATTATATCATGATTGAAAAGAAACTGAATTAACCAAAATACCTTTGGTCTTGCTGTGTTGCTCTGTTATGTCCTGTGTTAAACACATGGTTGTTATGTTATTGAATGCTCATATTCTCTAGATTGAATAAAAATTAGTCATTCACATAGAATCTCTACAAATTTGCTGACATTTTGTATAGTTTTCTTCTAGCTTTAAATATATTTAATGTTTTGTTTTCATTAGCAGAGACCCAAAACAAAAACAAAAACAGCTAAAAAGCACATACCTGAAGCTGGGTATGGTGGTGCATGCCTGTAATCTCATTACTTGGGAGGCAGAGGCAGAGGATCAGGAGTACAAGGCCATCCTCAGCTATATAGCAAGTTTGAGGCCAGCCTGGGCTACATGAATCTATGTCTTAAAAAAAAATAAAGAAAAGAAAAAAGGGCATACCTGGAACGTTGCTGAATTCTTTGCCTCTGGTTTATATTTTCTTTTGAAACACTTTTAATGGTAGTTCCTTTTCTATTGCTAAGAATTAAAAAAAAAAAAAAAATATATATATATATGTATATAACATAGAGATAAATGAAGGTGGCCTAGATAACATCAATTAAAACATTTTCTTAATCTGTAATATTGTACTAATTTGAATTTTGATCTTTTTCCTTAGAATGAATTAAGTGCAGCAACACACCTGACTTCGAAACTTTTAAAAGAATATGAAAAACAGGTATAAAGGTTTTAAAGCATGATTTAAAATATGTAACAATGTACTGTATGTTTAGATAAACTTTTTCAATCAGAATCTTTTATTTTAGTGTTTAGAGCAAGGGTCTCACCATATAGTCTCAAACCCATGATGCTTCCACTTTTTCTGAGTGCTGGCATTCCAGGCATTCACCACCATGCATGGCCTGGTAGCACTTCATAAGTTTACAAAATATGCCATTGAAAACTCACTAAGTCCTTATTGTTAGTGACTTACTATTAGAACAAAGCTGGTCTGCTTTTCCAGATTTTTCCTTTTTTATTTTAATTTTTATTTTTTGAGACAGGATTTCTCTGTGTAGCTCTGGCTGTCCTGGAATTCACGCTGTAGACCAGGCTGGCCTAGAACTCAGAAATCCACCTGGCTCTGCCTCCTGAGTGCTGGGAGTAAAAGCCTGCACCACCACCTGGAGATTTCTCACTTTTACTAAAAAAGACACTGAGCTTTGTTCAAGGTTACTCTGTTGTTGGAGGAAGGAGTCAAAGCCAAATCTTTGAGCTCCTAATATTGCGTACATCACATTGTATAGTGCTAGTTGATTATCTAACAGTCATTTTAAACAGTGTTCATTAATTGCAAAGATTATTTTATTAAAAGGATATTTTTGGAGCATGTTCAAAAACTTAGATGTTTCTAAAGTTATTTGAAAGTAGATTGTGTTACTCACAAAAAATACATTGAACATTAATCTCATCTGTGTTTTTCACTTTCAGCGTTTTCCTTTGGGGGGTGATGATGAAGTTATGAGCTCTACTTTACAGCAGTTTTCAAAGGTTATAGATGAGGTAAGTTGTGATCTTGCTTGAGTAGGTGGTTTTATAACTAAGTTACTGAAGTTATTCAGCTTTTACTGAAAACTATAAAGCTTTTTATTATATTTTACTTCGTGTGTGTGTGTGTGTGTGTGAGAGAGAGAGAGAGAGAGAGAGAGAGAGAGAGAGAGAACACACCATATTGTGTGTGCAGCAATTAGAGAACAACTTTCAGGAATAGGTTCTCTCCTACCATGAGTCCCCAAGGTTAGCAATCAGGTTATCAGTCTCAGTAGCCACCTCTCCAGCCCTCATTAGGGGAACTAATATAGCTGTGAGTCTATGAGACGTTTTGTTGCAAAGAATAGTATTAAAAGGCACTATTTCCACATCATGATGGCTTTCATAAAATCAGTATTTTCTTACCTAATTAAAACGGTTTCCCTGGGGCTGGAGAGATGGTTCATCAGTTAAGAGAACTGTTGCTTTTCCAGAGGTCCTGAATTAAATTCCCAGCAACCACATGGTGGCTCACAACCATCTATACTTGGATCTGATGTGCTCTTTGGCATGCAGGTATACATGCATATAGAACACTCATATATGTAAAATAAATAAATCTTTAAAAACATTCTCCCATGAATAAACTTAAAAATGGGTTTCATCTATTCCTAGTCCATGAATCATTCCCCTTTTTTCATTGTTACTTGATGTAGACAGAAAAATGAGGCTGTCTGCTGTAACCAGTTGCTTTGTGATTTTTCTTTTGCCATTGAGTAACACACACTGTTTGGTCCTCATTAATCTATGCAAAATAGCCAAAATTAGTCCTTAATTTCTCAAACCGTTTATTTTAACAGACCATAAAATAATAACAACATGAAGGCCTAGAAGTTAGAAGAAAAGAGATGCGAGGTTTATGGAGAACCATTAGTGTTCTCTACTCTTGCTATGAAAGCTGTGTGTGTTTATTCTCATATACATACTTTTTTAACATGCGTGGGATCCAGCCCAAGGCCTTACATGTTCTAGATAGGTCTTCTACCACTGAACTATAACCTAGTCCCAGTTTTTCTAATATCTTAATAACCCACTATAGCAGAGTATTATCCTAGGCTATCAGTTTAAGTAATGATACTTAGTGGGTTAGGGATGTAGCTTGGTGGTAGAGTACTTGATGAGAATTTGCGAGTAATGGGTGTGACTCCTAGCACTTCAAGTAAACAAAACAAAATGCTTATAGGAAATGTAATATTTTCCATTTTTAAAAATTATGGCAAAATACATTGATACTCATGGTATTTAATTCATTCACAGTGATGTACAACCATCATAGTTATCTAGGTTAAGAACATTTTCATCATCTTAAAAGAAGTCTTTTTCATGCCATCTATGACTTTCCCTCGGATTTTCCCAAGTCCTTGGCAATGACTACATTTTGGTTTCTGTCTCTGTAGATTTGCCTCTTTGGATATTTCATATAAGTTAACCCATAGAATTTGTGGATTTTGAGGTGTGTTTTCTTTCATTTTAAATATGTTTATCTGTGCCAATACTTTTTTCTGAATAAAATTTTATTGTATAATGCATATTACCACATTTTATTTACCCACTTGTGGGTGTTCTGTTGTTCTTACCTTTTGGTTCTGACCATTCATATAATAGTTTACTCTTACAAATGCCAGCTTTCAGTTCTTTTTTGGAAAATGCTAAGGAGTGGCATTGCTTGGTTTTATGGTAATTTTATGTCTTAACTTTTTGAGGAATCACCAGACTGTTTTAAACAGTGCAGGACAGTTTGTTTTTTTCTTTATTTGTGCTAGCAAGTATTTTCTTTTTAAAATGATAATCACTTAATAGGAGTGAAGTGGTATCTCATTGCCATTTTGACTTGCAGTTTTTGGGTAGCTAATACTATATTGAGCTTTTTTTCCATGTGGTTATTAGCCATTTGTAATCTTTGGGGAAGTGTCTGTTCAGATCCTTTGCCCATTTTTAAGTTGGGCTATTTATTTTTGTTATTAAGTTGTAGGAGTTTATTACCTAGATGCAGGTTTCTTCTGAGATGTGGTTGGAAATGTTTTCTCATTCTATTTGTTATCTTTACTTTCTTATAGTATCTTCTGATCCATAGTTTTATTTTAATAGAGTCTATTTTACATTTTGTTGCTTGTGCTTTTGATGTTATTTCTAAAAAATTGTTGTCAAATAAAGTTTTCTTTTAAAAGTTTTAGGCGGGGCATGGTGGCACATGCTGTTAATCCCTGCACTTGGGAGGCAGAGGCAGAAGCCTCTGCGTTTGAGGCCAGCCTGGTCTACATAGTGAGGTCCAGGACTACTAGGGCTACATAGAGAGACGCTGTCTCAAAACAAAAACAAAAAAAAGTTTTTTCATATAATATTTTGTATCATACTATATAATTTTGTTGTTTCCATATGTAAAATGTATCAAAGCCTTTTAAAAGACTAGATTCTAATTTATATAACATTGGTGGATTCCTATATGTAGACATATAGTAGGTCTTTTATCTGTTAGTTATTTGGTATTTCTGTCTTTCTTTTACTAGCTCAGTTCTTGTCATGCAGTACTATCAACTCAACTTGCCGATGCCATGATGTTCCCCATTTCCCAGTTTAAAGAAAGAGATCTGAAAGGTATTGACATCAACCTTGTGTTTATTTTCACTGAAGTTCAGTGCTAGCAGAGTGCATTTATTTCATATCTAAACCAGTTCTGACCACAACATGCCACTTTTACTTTAAGTAGTTACTAAACATCTGTGGAAGTGCTTGATAGATACTGAATTAGTTCCTGACAAATAATAATGTTCTTTCCTCAAAAGGAGATGGGTTAACACTATGAGAGTGTCTTATAGTTAGGGAGAAAGAAGGTGCTATGGGAGCTCAGAGGAAATGGTCAGAAAGACTTCACCGATGACATGAGCATTGAACAATAAAGAGAGATATGTTGAGAAAGGAGTTGTTTTATTAGGATGAGTGCACAAAGTATAGGTTGTAGAAAATATCACTTTTTTGAGAATAATCCGGTGCTGGATGTGCTGAAGCAAGGCAAGAGATGACTGTAGAGATAGAGGAGGTGGAACTAAAGCAAGGTAAAAGAAGTTAGGCCTGAGTGTATGAACACAAAGAAGCCAGCAGACTCCACAGGAGTAAAGAGACATGTCATTTTGTTTTTACAGGTGGAACAGAGTGGATTTGGTGCTTAGACCACTAAGAAGTGAGAGGCCAGGGAAGGAATAAAGAGAGTGAGAGATGTTAGTGGCACAGAGTAGAGGTTCATTGTAGGTGGGGGAACTGGGAACACAGGTTAGTGGGTGACCAAATAAATGTTTTGTAGATCTGGTTCTTTCTATAATTTATAAACTCAAAGTAGATAGAAAAAAATCAAGCATATCAAGTAAATGGTAAAGTACATAAATTAAAGACAAATGTCTTTCAGAGATGGAGCCAATAACTGAAATGATCTTTAAGAATGGTCAGTTCCAGCCAGACATGATGGTGCACACCTTTAATCCCAGCACTCAGGGAGGCAGAGGCAGGCTGGTCTCTGTGAGTTCCAAGCCAGCCTGGTCTACAGAGTGAGCCCAGGACAGCCAAGGCTACACAGAGAAACCCTTAGTCATATATAAAAAATGAATTAATATGTTAGGTTCTAGTAGTGTGAGTATTTGCATATCTTAGCATTTAAGGTGGGTTTAAATACTTCCTCGCCTCATATCTGAGGTGACTGGATTTTCTGGTAATGCATTGCTGGTTATCTCCAAGGTTTTATAGACAGACAAACAGGAGTGTCTCCGCTGTGAATACCGTAGTATCAATTTTTGCTTGAGTTTTTGTTTTGGCTTAAGTGGTACTAATTGCTTTATAAATAGTTAAAATGTTTTATAGATATGCTAAACTGAAATTATTTTTGAACTCTTTCAGAAATACTGACACTAAAAGAGGTATTTCAGATTGCTAGTAATGGTAAGCCCTGAACATGTTATGCACTGATTTCTTTCATTGATCTGTTTATCAGTGTACATCACGTACATCATTCTTTGTTAATATTAAAACATTAACTCAATTAAATGGTTAGGATAACATTATTTAAATCAGTGATAATACTTTAAATGTATTTTTTACAAAAAAATGTTTCAATGGCAGTTATATCAATCATACTATCTTTATAGTGCCTAAAGAGGTTATAAAATATTTTACTTATTTTCTAAGAATTCTGATTTTTTTTTCCCTTTTCCTTTCCTTTCCTCTCTTCTTTCTATGCCAGGTCTTGAACACAGGGCCTTGTACATGCTAGGCAAGCACTCAGTCACTACGATATGTTTGGTTTTAGCCTCAGTCCTTCTTTCTTTCTTTTTCAGCTTTTATTTCCTTAAGAGTTTTTCAATTTTGAATTAAAAATATTTTTTCTTTTTACTTATTCTTCCCATCCCGCCACTCCTAGTCCTTCTACCACTCCCCCTCTCCCCCAGCTCCACTGTTCCTTCATTTTCCTTCAGGAATGAGCAGGTGCTTTTAATTACAGTTTCTTTGGAAGTTAGTATTTTGTATCAATTTGGCACATAGTCACATGATTTGAGGGAAACTAGGCTGTGGGGAAAATTTGAACATAGTGGTCATGTAGTAGGGCATTCTTACGTAGCTCTAGTGTGGGTGTAGTCTTACAAAGTACTGTTAACACTCATTTCTGTTTTCCAGATCACGATGCTGCAATTAACAGATACAGCCGATTGTCAAAGAAGAGAGAAAATGACAAGGTGTGTGTACTCACTTTAAAAACATTTTTAATGTATTTTTTTATATGTATAGGTGTTTTACCTGCATGTATGTCTGTGTACCATGTACGTTAAGTGCCTGAGGAGGTCAGAAGATGGTTGTGAGCTGCTGTGTAGATGGGGGAGCTGAACCTGGTTATTCTGGAAGAGCTACGAGTGAGTGCTCTTAACTGCTGAGCCATTATGTCTCTGGCCCCTGCACACTTTTTCAGTATGCAGTTAATGGCCATTTCATTAGGTGATTTATTTTTTAAAAATAGAGTCAACAAATCATTGTCGTAGTATTACTCTTAAATTTTATTTTTTCCTAGCTGTTTAAAACTTACCTGATACTGGTCTCTTTAAATAACATGCTTTTTTCCTGCTAATATTTGATAGTTTAACTCTTTTGAAAGTATAGTTGATTGTCAGTATATAAAACGTGTTCTTTTTGTTTTGTATTTCGATAATACTGCATATTTTTTTATCTGATCCATGTATATTGAGAAATACCACATGAGATACAGTATATGCAAGCAGTAAAGTTAAGAAAACAAGAGCACATGAATTTGAAGGAGAATAAAGAGAGGTATATTGGGAGGTTTAAGGGAAGTAGATGGAAGGGAGAATGTTGCAATTATATTATAATCTCAAAAAGAAAAAGAAAAAAATCGCAAAAAAGAAGAAATACTTCAGTTTTGTGTTCCAGACATATGAAAGTATGTGTATAAGAGTTTAAATAGGTGTTCATGGTAGTTAGGGTAAGAAAAAAGTTACCTTAAATTGGGTAACACTCTGTCCTGAAAACTCATTAAAAACATGATTAAAACAAACCAACACAAACACATACCTCAGTGAATTATCACACACGGAACTCAATGAAATTCTGGTGTAAGAACTTCTCTACTTAAAGGGAATATTTATGTTTTTTGATGTTTCCTCAAGGAATGAAACCCAATAATATTACACAATATTTGAGGATGAATACATTTAAAGATTAAAAAAGAGAATATTAACAAGTTCTAGGTGATTCAAGGCTTGGGATATAGCCTATACCAATATTTGCAAATGAGGTGATCTCTATGCAGGGTTTGGTATTTGCAGCCCTGGCCACAGCTGCTGGTAGAGACACCATGACTACTTATGGGAATCAATAACTGAGTAGGATTTACTGTGCAGCAGCCACTTGGCAACAAAGGGAATGATTCTCACACAGTGATCATTCCCCAAACTGTGTTCTGTTTCTAATTTTAGTTCAGAAGTTGCCCAATAAAACATAATTTGAGATCTAGTAGTCATTTTGCTTTAGAGAGGTATTTAAAGGTCTAGATTATACAATTTGGCATATTTTATATTGCTTTTGGCTATTCCAAGTATTTTAAAAAAGCATTCATCCCTTTTTTAATTAGAAAAATTATTGAGCATCTATTTATCAAGCAGTATTTGGATACCTTGGGGGAACAATGTGTGCTCTTATATATGTTGAAGGCTTTGTGTGAATGCATTCCAGAGTACAACGATGGAGAGCTATGGATTAACATGAATTAAATGCAGTAATAGAGATTTTGCTAGAAAGAGTCCAGGCAAAACTTTATTGGTGCGTTGGAAAAGATTATACTTTAGGAGATGATACACATTGTAGATAAGTAGACAGCATTTTGGGGCTTGAAAAGGATTTTGAAAAAAAGCTCCAAACCAAACAACAAAAATCCCCTCGAAATCAAAATAGTCTCTCTATAGAGGCTTTTGGTGTTGGAGGCTATAAAGGTTTAGAGTACTAGCTATGGGGTAAGATTTTGGGGACATATTTAAGGTCTGCTATGAGTTTATTTGAAGTCATGTACTAGTTACTTAATCCCATGCCTTTATTCTTCATGCAAAACAAAAAACCCACAAAACAATTGTGAAAATAAAATTAGGTAGTGAATGTAGAGTGGCAGTTTTAGCAGGTTTCACTAAAATCTGATCATGATGGCGATGGGAGGAAATCACTACCTTTCATCTCTTTGGATATGTTTAGGGAAAGATGCAGAAATAATAAAGTAGGTGGGGGTTGGATGGTGTAGCTCTCACATGTGACCCTCGTACTTGGGAGGCAAAAGGAGGAGGGTCACTGAAAGCTTGAGCTACCCTGGAGTTCAAGGCTTAGCCTGGGCTAAGAATGAGACACTGTCACTGTCTTAAAACAAAGCAACAACCACTGTTTATCAAAGCTCAACCTGGAATAGTTTGGAGCCAGATTGCTGTATTTATGGCTTTGAAATTTGTGTTAGAGGAATTGAGAAGTCACCAAAGGATTCTTAGCGGGTGAATAACATCATAGAGTTGTGTTACCTAAGAAAAGCAGTAATGAAAATGTGAAAGGGATGGTACTATACAGATTCCAATAAAAAGTACTGTAATAATTTGCTTAGTCATGATGAGGGTTGTTATCAAAAGAGGAAAGGAATGAATACTTTGAAGAGTTGTTCTTCATCCCTCACTGGGAATTGAACTCATGGCCTTGTGAATGGTAGGCAAGCACTCTACCACTGAGACACACTTCCTGGCCCTTCTTTGAAAGAGAGAAGTCCAATAGTAGGAGGTGGAATCCAAACTGACATTTCCTAGAGAGAAGTAAGAAAAAATAAAGGACAGGTGTTGTGAAGAAGAAGCTGTTTTCAATTTTGTGTATTTCCGGTGCATATAAACACTCATTCTTACACAAAAAAGAATGCAGCTTTCCTTTGGTACTTGGGAGAGAGAGTGCCAGGGAGGAGATGGAAGTTCACTACCACCAAGTCGCTGGAACATTGGGGAAATGCTGGAACTTGGTGAGTATTCCAAGGAGAAGGAAAAGAGCCTCATACACATTAGTCCTCTGTAAATGCCCAAGGAAAATGTGTTGTTGAGTGAAGTAACTCAGGGGAACATATGTATTTTAAGTGTGAGTCAAGGAAAATAAGCAGGGAGAAAAAAGTGGTGGGGAGAAAACCAGGAAGGGAGAATATGTGGAGTGAGCTAATTAAGATCAGATATCACTGGCTAAATAATAATCTATATGGTGGACTCTTGTCATGCTTAGTGCAGATATCCATTTTGTAAGTGATAGACTTGGTAAACAGAAAAATCAGTTTACCCAGTTTAATGGATTTCCAGTATAGTAGAAAACAGGAAAGCTATGTTCAGTAATTACCGATCACTGTTTTCCTTGGTAGACTTTTTTCCACAGCTTCTACTAAAGATATTTTCCAAATTAATTAAAGAATATTTTACTCTTTTCATTCAAAGGTAAAGTATGAAGTAACAGAGGATGTATATACTTCTAGGAAGAAACAACACCAGACCATGATGCATTATTTTTGTGCACTAAATACTCTTCAGTACAAGAAGAAAATAGCTTTGTTAGAACCTCTACTTGGATACATGCAGGCTCAGGTAAGTACTATAGTATGTTTTGAATTGTATCTGTCCTAAAAGCCTTGTATAGAGCTTGATATTTATATTAACCATAAGGATATTGTAAACTGTTGTCAACATTCTAATTTGTATTATGGTTTTAAAAAGAATTTTAAAGACTGTCCTGGGTGTCTTATTGTAAGGTGGTTGGGAGAATGGTTTTCCTTGCAAAGGAAGATCTAAAATGTTTTAAATAAATGGAAATGCATTGTAATTAAGACTTCTCCCACCTCAGTTGGGGACAGGAGGCAGAAAGCTAAATAAATTTCAAGTACTATCTCTTGCTGGATCTTCTTTTCATTATTGCTTCATATGTCTGAAAAAGAATGAACAAATTTGAGCCAGGCATGGTGACTCAAGCCTTTAATCCTACCACTCAGGAGACAGAGACATTCAGATCTCTGTGAGTTTAAGGCCAGCCTAGTCTACAAAGAGAGTTCGAGGACAGCCAGAGCTGTTACACAGAGAAACCCTATCTAAAAAACAAACAAACAAAAAGAATAAGCAAGTTTGCATTTGTTTTATGGAATGTGGTAGATGAGGGGTCTGGAGAGATGTCTCAGTGGTTAAGAGTACTGACTGCTTTCCTAGAGGACCCAGGTTCAATTTCCAGCATCTATATGGTAGGGGAATCAGACACTGTCACCTCACCTTCTAGGGCACTTGTCACACATATGATGAGCAGACATACACTCAGGCAAAACACCCATATGCATAAGAAAATAAGTAAAGTATTCAAATGCCCAAAAAGGTGCACATTAGGAAACTGGCTGGAAGATTGAGTTTGGGGAAATATATCAGTTTCTTAAAACCCAAGAAACTTGAATATCCCTTCAGGCATAAGAGTACTTATTTATAAACTAGCTGTGGTAGGTAGCCTGAGGTCAGAGAAATATTTGAGGCCACCCTGGATTACACAGTGAAACTTCATTTCAAATAACAACAGCAAACTGCCTAAATATGTGAGAGGATAGATAGTGGGATTTAGTTCTAGTTTCCTTAGTAGCCCTGACTGGTGGATGTTATAGACCCTAACCTGTTATGTACAAATCAGATAACCCACTCTCATTTTCCTGTAATTCTGTGTCCTAGAAACTGTTGATGGGATTTACTCGAAATATTTTTTGTGTGTGTTTATACTGTACAATCTTCCACTCCTCTTCTACCTCAGATAAGTTTCTTTAAGATGGGTTCTGAAAATCTCAGTGGACAACTGGAAGAATTTTTAGCTAATATTGGAACAAGTGTACAGAAGTAAGTGTTTTGTTTTCATTAAAATGAAAATGAAATTATGTCAAAAATTTAATAGCTAAATATTTATATTTACATAATTACAATATTACTTAATTTAAATATGTACAACTTGGACTGGAGAGATAGCTCAGTGGTTAAGCACACTGTCTGTTCTTCCAGAGGTCCTGAGTTCAATTCCCAGCAACCACATGGTAGCTCAGAACCATCTATCCTCGGATCTGCTGCCCTCTTCTGGCATGCAGGTGTACACAAAGACAGAGCACTCATGTATTAAAAAAATATTTAAAGCTTAATTTTCTAAGGGTTAGTTTTCTTGCCATGAGTGTATTTCTCAGCTTTATGGCTAAGTTTGGGAGTTTAACTGTCTTTCCCCTAAATGTAAACTCTGGTTTCATAACACTGAAATTTGATGATGGTTTTAATGATATAAAGCTAGCTTTTATGTTTGACTAATAAAAATATATAATGGTAATTATCCATAAATAAAATTTTCTTTAAAATCTTATTTGTAAACCTTGCTTAGAAAATTAGTATGCAATCCTGTTTTCTATGCTCTAGTATTTTGAGAGAGAAAGCAGTTCTAATCACCTTTAATGTGTGAATAACTATGATGTTAATCTGAGGCAAGGAGAGAGATGAAATTTAGGGTTTTTCATTTTATTTTTTGCAGTGCTGGGGCTTGAACGCAGGTCTGTGCTGTACCATAGAGCAGTTTGAAAAGTACTCTACAGCTAGGTGTCCGGTTACTTTATTAGTGTTCAAATTTGATATTGTTTCTAAAATATCTAAGTTTAACATAGTGTTTAAAATGAATTTATGTTACCTTAACCATCTTGTGTTTGCTTTTTTAAAAAATGAAATATATGGGCATGTAGGGTTGGTAAGGCATTCTTTGTTGGTCATGGCTGGTAGTAACTAACCTGTTCTCTGTGTTAGTGTTCGAAGGGAAATGGATGCTGATGTAGAGACCATGCAGCAGACAATACAAGACTTGGAGGTAGCCAGTGACCCTTTATATGTGCCTGACCCAGATCTAACCAAGTTCCCGGTCAATCGAAATTTAACCCGAAAGGCTGGATACCTAAATGCTAGGAAGTAAGAAAACTGTTGTCATTTTCATAGTACATCTTGTAACAGCAAATTGATATAATGTATAATTACCTTGTTTGCCAGTTGTTTTGGTTTCAGTAAAGGTTGAAACTTAAAAACAAACAAACAGACATTTATTTATTTATTTATTTGCATGTAAGCATTTTTATGTTTTGTGTGTACACATGTTGTAGCAGTGTAGGAGTGTTGGTGAGAGGACAGCATGCTGGACTCCCGCTCTCCCATATAGGTGCGTGTGTAGCATTCAAGTCACCAGGCGTGGCGGGAAGTCCCTTTAACCAGTATGCCGTCTTAGCGCCCCAAAGTTGAAACTTTTTAGTGTTGTATTTATTTATATAAGCTTGTTGGTAGGGTACACAAAAACTTGAAGAATCCTACCTTAATATTTATGGAATAATTTGAATTTATGAAAGGGATGAAACCAATTTGAATCTAAATAAGCCTATCATGATATGTAGATGCTACTAAATATTATGTTAATATTAATCACACATTTTAGATGTGATTATATCAAGTCAAAATTGAGTTTTCATTGAAAATGGACCAAGTTTTTTTCCCTCTCTCTCTTATTATTCTCGTCAATTTTCAGTGCTGTGTTGGAGCTCAGACCCTTGAGCATCCTAGGCACATGCTGTCCCATTGAACTAAGTCCCCAGCTGTCACTTGATAATGGTGAAGTAGATTAGCCCTAGAAATAAGATTGAATTTCTTTTCTTGAATCCTGAGCTGTAACTTGGATTTTTGATGTATCTTTGTAACAGTTGCAACTTAATAATTTCTACCCTTGATTTTGAAACAACACATGTTCACAAGTGAGTCGTCATGTGCAAAACCATTTCAGAGTCTGAAAAAGCGATATATCTTCTTCCCTTGGCGCCTTTTTGTAGATTGTTTTGTTTTTACATGCTGCTTTTTCTTGTGTCTGCTGGTAATAAGGGATTTCTTAGGAGTCATTGTTAAAATGTCAATGTGTTTTCTTTAGTAAAACAGGCTTGGTGTCGTCTAGCTGGGACAGACAGTTTTACTTCACGCAGGGTGGAAACTTAATGAGTCAAGCCCGTGGAGATGTGGCAGGAGGCCTGGCCATGGACATAGACAACTGTTCAGTGATGGCCGTGGACTGTGAAGACAGGCGATACTGTTTTCAGATCACTTCTTTTGATGGAAAAAAGTTAGTGTTATTCTGCTGCTAGTAAGATAGACATTTTAAAATAAAATGCTGAATTATTTTTTTGTTTAAAATAGACATTTAGAATTACTGTGAATTATTTATATATTTTATGTGCATTGGGCTTTTGCTTTCATGTATATGTGTTTGAGGATTTCAGATCCCCAGGAACTGGAATTATGGACAGTGGCAGGCTGCTGGGAATTGAACCTGGGTCTTCTGGAAGAGCAGTCAGTGTTCTTAGCCACTGAGCTGTCTTTCCAGCCCCATTAAATGTTTTTTTTAATACTTTGAAGTTGTTAGAGCAACAAATGGTGCAAACCTGTGATTTCACATTTAAGATAAGGCACTTAAAAATCCTGCATAGTATTGGGAAGGTAGTGTGACTTAGAATGTCCGCCATGGGTTATTTACTTACTCTGTTCTTGGATTAGTTACTGATTACCCCTCTGTTCTCTATTTTTCTGTATATATCAAATGGAGGCAGAGGAGTTGTACTGTCAATAATTGTGAGGAATAGAAATCTAACAAACATAATGTGCTTATATATGTACAGATTCTAACAGTAGTCTTATTTTGAACTGTTAATGAGTTACTTGTAGTTACGTTATTTTATTCATTATTGTTTTTATGCCTTTTAAAAAATTCTGTTACCTTTACATTAAATGTGAATCTATAGTGTAGAACAATTTTTCAAAAAAAACATAAATGTAAATAAGAATGAAAAAAAAACACCTGTTAATTTTATATAGCATTTTGTTTCCTTCTAGTTTTTATCCTGAATACATTTTTTTCCTTTCCCCTCCTCCTTTCCATCCTCTTTCTTCTTCACCTTGAACCCACAGCCTTGAGCATTCTAAGCAAGTCTCTGCCATTGAGCTAGTGCCACAGCCCTTTTTGTAAAATTTCATTTTGTGACAGGTTCTTAGCAAGTTGTTCAGGCTGGTCCTCACTTGTCATCCTCCCACTTTAGCCTCTGAGGTCGTTTAGGGATAAATACATTTTCTTAAATAATTGAAGGATATTTTGTATATGTAAAGTAGATCTGCATCCATTTAAAAAAAAAAAACCATTTTATAGGACTGGAGAAATAGCTCAGCGATTAGGAACACTTGCTACTCTTACAGAGGTTCCTGGTTCTGTTCTCAACACCCATATCTAGTGGATCAAAACTCCATGTAGCCCCAGTTCCAGGTGTTTTGACACTCTTTTCTGGCCTTAAGGACATCTGCATTCGTGTGGTGCACCTAAACTCATATACATATAAAAAAAACTTTAAAAATGCGTTTTTAATGGTTGTATTAATAATCTTTCAAAAACCATACAACATAGTTTAAACGTTTTCCTAATGATACAAATTTAAGTTAGCTGAGATGGATTTTTGACTTTTGAACTTACTTATTATTTAGAAGAAATCTCTAGGTTCTCTGAAAGTCATTTTTTTCTCCATAATATTTATGTACATTAAGGTACCTTTCTTCATAAAAGAGAATTTTGCTTACTATCTTAGCCACGTGATTATTTTCCCAGTCCTTCTATAGATATACAGTGAATGTCAGTGCTTTATACTAGAGTTCCTATTTGCTAACAAGTTAGTACTACATTTTTGTTTTTAGCATTAGCATTTTGCTAATGCTTGGCATGGTTCTCATTTTTTTTTCTGTTAAGATAGAAAACTAATAACATTTAAATTTTCTCTTAAAATATCAATATTTGGACAGAAACCAAATATTTCTGTTGGTGGTCCATTTGTTGCAATTTTTATTTATACTTTAGGGAGAAACTGTCAATAGTGAACTTAGTATTTTCTAGTTAGATAACCCATAGAAATTCTAGTAAGTTGAAGTAGATTTTCTTTTTTTATGTTGTCTTCTGGAAGCTGGTATTCCTATTTGGTTTTGCACATTGTAGATAGCCACTTGGAGTTCTTAAGTCTTAAATCCTGGAGCTACTGTTGGGCTTAAGTACTTGTCACTTGTGTTTTTTTCTTTAATTTTAAAGTTGAGGCTAAAACTTTCACTGTTTTCTCCGTAGATCTTCAATTTTGCAAGCAGAGAGTAAAAAAGACCATGAAGAGGTAAAAAAAATTTTATAAAGTAAATTTTGTCTGTTTTTTTTGTTTTTTTTTTTTTTTTTTTTTGTTTTTTGTTTTTTTGAGACAGGATTTTTCTGTGTAACTTTGGCTGTCCTGGAACTCACTCTAGACCAGACTGGTATCAAACTCTGAGATCAGCCTGCGTCTGCCTCCCAAGTGCTGAGAATAAAATTAATCTCTTCAACATTTAAAGCTAGTTTTTGTTCTTCTGAAAATAGAACATTAATGTATTTACTATAGAAAATTTGGAAAAATCTTAGTTAATTAAAAATGACTTAAAGTCCTTTGTTCTCAAGCATCATTCTTAGTTTTCTAACAGTTTTATAGCTAGAGGAACTTTAGACACCATTTCTGCACTGTCTTAAAGTGCTATATTCAGCAATGAATATAATCTGGCAGGCTTAGTGTCATGAGTTGGCAGTTTCATTTATCCTCTGTTGTCACTAATCTTTGGGACATTACTTGCCGCAGTAAGAACATGGCGACAGCAGATATGGTACAAAAAGAAGCAACAAAGGCTTAGAACAGTGGGAAAATGAAAGACAGAAAAACAAAGATTTAGGAGTCTGTTCTTTCTCACAAGCCTTTTAGTTTTGACTCCAGCTATACTCCTAGTAAACTACATATGGAAGGAAAGGTACTATCAAGACTGATAATTTAAAAACTGTTTTCAGAAATATTCTTCATCTTATTTAGTATTATACTTTTATTGGTAAAAAAATGCAGTTGGAAATTCTATAGAGACCTATATGTATTAATTTCTCTTGGGAAAGAATAGTTTTGGTCTTTGAGGACACAGATATTTCTGCTCTGTGTGTGGTTTACCAGAGTATTTATTAGTTTTGTGAGGCCTGTCAGGCTCTAGAATCCTTGAAAATGAAGCAGAGGATGTGGAATAGGGTTTTTTTGTTTTTTTCTATTTGAAAGAAGGAAGATGTATAATGTACATTCACCAGGAAGAATTTGTGTTTTAATTTTTCACATAAATGTTATGGTAACTGAGTTCAGAATACCATGTTTGGTGGGAATTAAGGGAGGAAGGAATATAAAAAATATACTATTAAGTTATGATTTAACATGATTACTATTTATTTTGTATAAATAAATTTATTAAAATAATTCAATCTGAAGATCTTTTACATGCATATGTTTATAGCAGTTTTTGTTTTGTTTGTTTGTTTGTTTGCTCGGGATTGAATCTAAGGATTCACATACTTTGTTAAGTATGTGCTCTATCACTAAGTTACATCTCCACCCCTGAGATGAAGAATATGTGCTATTCTAATGAAAATTGTTTCAGTTTAATATTGGGTAGCCTTCCTGAGTAGAGAGGCTTTATTGAAAGAGACATTAGTAATCATATTTAATTTTTTCTTTTTCAGTGGATTTGTACAATAAACAACATATCTAAACAAATATACTTGAGTGAAAACCCAGAGGTAATATTTTTACTTTGTTATCCAGATCTATCAGAATGAAGTAATTTTGTAGGTTATATGGCTTTTATTAATTGACTCATTTCTCAAGTTCTGTAATCTCAAGTACAGAATCCATATGATTCTGTTTGGGTTGCTTCAGTGTACCATGGATTGTCTATCACAGAACTGTGTTATTTCAAAATGTACTGAAATCAGTTACTCAACTGGTATTGACAATTATCTTCATGTTGAGTGCCATGGAGTAGGTAAAAATGGAGAGAAACTCCGTGGCTTCCTCTAGGAGTTACTGTGGTAAGTTAAAAAGGAAGCTGTGTGACATTTTATGTACAACATGATTAGAAGCACATGGTTAAAACACACATGGTAATCACTTACAGGCTTACATTTTTGAAATGTTAGGATCAGTGAGGACTTTGTTTTAGAGAAAAATTTGTAGAGATGATGGAAACCTGAGCTAAGATTTGTTCAAGGAAAAAAGGAGACACTGTAAATCTTGTTCAAATATATTTTATGTTTTTGGTACATCTGTAATGAATCAAACTGAACTTTCAGTTTGCAAATTATTCTTTGAGTAGCAAGGGTTTCAAACCTGGTGCACCTCAGTGTGTTAACTTAGCCATAATAACAGTTCAGACAGGCAAGTAGAATCTAAGGGTACCAGTAGCTGAAAGAATGGAATGAGCCTCTGCTATGTAATAGTTGGGAAAAGACTTGGTCCTAGAAGGGAGCTGTCTAAACTCCTTTTTAGATGTTGGCTGGCTATGCAGTGAACCCAGGTGCTTCTTATGCTGGGTAGGGACTGATGATTTCATTTAAAAGTCTTAGTCACAAGCTTCTCTTCCCCCTCCCCCAACACCAGACAGGATTTCTTGGATCTGCCCGTCTTTACTCACCCTCCCAATCCAGAGCTACCATACCCAGATTAAGTTACTCTTGATGTTAATGGTGGATTTGATAGGAGGGTCGAGACTGGTTAGTAACTAACTGAGTAAAAGGTAAAGAAAAAATGATAAAGATGACTTCCAGGTTTTAAATTCAAAGACTTCTGTTTAGAAAAAAAGAGGAATTCTGTTTTTGTTAAAATGAGATGCCATCAAGTATATTCATAATTTTATCAATTATATAACTATATTCTAGAAGAGTTCTTTTATATTTAATGAATGTCCTACTTCTAATTTTTTATCCTTTATAAAATATTTTGAATGACTAGGCAGTATGCTAGGTGATAGCAGGACAAACCTTAATTCAAAGTAACTGGTAGTTAAAAATTAATAGAAAAAGTATATGTTCCGTTATGTATTTTAGTAGAAAGAAACTAGAATTAGTCTTGAATATAGGAAGTTTATAATGCTTGAAATTAATGTACCTTACTAGTAAGGTCAGAGAATGGAAATACCTCAGTAGCTTTAGTTTATATTTTAAACATAACTCAAGAGCTTTATGACAGTTTTAAGAGTTATTTCAAACTTTTAGTTTCTTACATTATTGATACTAATTTTATTTTGTATTTTTTTAAACAAACCAAACTAGGAAACTGCTGCACGAGTAAATCAGTCTGCTCTGGAAGCTGTCACTCCTTCTCCATCTTTCCAGCAGAGACATGAGAGCCTGCGCCCAGGAGGGTGAGTTAGTATGTGGGCTTATTTAAAGTGTTAGTGAGCACTTTGACATTTAACAGTGCTACTTAGACACGTACTAAGTCATCTCTGAATAACAGATGTGTATTTTCAAAATGACAGATTATGAATAAGGGTCTGTAGCATAGGCCAGAAGTTGATAGAGTGAGAATTTTATTTCTAAAACAGTCTCTCACAGGCCTGGAGCTCACTGATTTGGTAGGCTGATTGACCAGTGAGTTTCTTGCCTCTTCCTATCTCTGCACCCCAGTACTGTGCTTGCAGATGCATGCTGCCATGGCATCTCATTTTAAAATATGAGTATTAAAGATTAAAATCCAGGTTCTTGCTGGGTGGTGGTGCCACCCAACCTCTAATCCCAGCACTTGGGAGACAGAGGCAGGTGGATCTCTGAGTTTGAGGCCAGCTTGGTCTACAGAGTGAGTTCCAGGCCAGCCAGGGTACAGAGTAAAACCCTATGTCAAAAAAACAAACAAAAATCAGTTTCTCCTGCTTAGGCAGCACGCAGTTTACCAGCTGAGTCATTTTCCTAGTCCCAGTTTATGGAAACAAAGCTTATGGAAAGGAAGGAATCTTTTTTTTTTTTTTTCAAGACAGGGTTTCTCTGTGTAGCCCTGGCTGTCCTGGAGCTCAATCTGTGGACCAGGCTGGCCTCAAACTCACAGAGAGCCTCCTGTCTCTGCCTCCCAAGTGCTGGGATTAAAGGTGTGTGCCGCCATTCCTTCCGCTAGGAAGGAATCTTTTACTGAATAAATAGCTAGCTGATTTGGGATTAAATTTTTACTCTTTGAGTCAGGGTCTTGTGTTATGAGCCAGGTGGGCCCAGAACTGTAATCTGCTACCTCCCCTTCCTGGGATTACAGATAGGTGCTTCTGTGCCTGCCTTAGGGATACTTTTCATTAGAGTGCTGTATAATCTCATTGACTTAAAATACTGTTTTCTTTTCTTGTAGTCTGCTAAGCATTGAACTTGTGAAAGAAAAAAACTAAATTCAGTGCCTTCTTGTTTTCCTTTGTGGTTAGACAATCTCGGCCACCAACAGCTCGAACCAGCAGTTCAGGATCCTTGGGGTCAGAGTCTACAAATTTGGCTGCCCTCTCTCTAGATTCTCTTGTTGCTCCAGATACTCCAATACAGTTTGATATAATTTCTCCTGTGTTTGAAGATCAGCCTGGCCAGACAAAAGCCTTTGGCCAAGGAGTCAGGTGAGTATTGATGTCAGGAAGACAATGTAAGATTTACGATTTATATCATAATATAAGATATCATAGTATAAGATTTATGATTCCATGTGTGGTGCATTTCTGTATCAGCTATGTTGGTTTTTTGTGTAATTACCTAACAGCATTTTCATAGTTAGGGTAGAACCATACGTGTTTTTCTGTTGGTCTTCTGCATCTATTAAAGGTGTTAGGGTAATCAAATGTCAAAAAATTTAATTCTGAATTGCTTGTAAAGTCTATTACTTGGGCATTTGACCTGGTAATTGCAGAAGAAGTGATAGTCTATCTTTAGGTTGTGACATTATTTTTAAAATTCTGTCAGAATGAGGGGCCAGGATGTAGCTCAGCTGGGAGTGTGCATGCCTAGTGCATGGAGGCTGGATTCAATCTCTCGAAGCACAGAGAACTGGACATGGTTAGCTTGTGCCTGCACTTGTGGTACTTGGGAGTTGGGAGCAGGAGAATCAGAAGCTCAAGGTTGTCTTGGCGATATATGTGTGTGTGTGTGTAGTGTGTGGTGTGTGTAGCAAATTCAGGTCCAGTTGGACTATATGAGACCCTGTCTCCATGATATTGGTGATGATGAAGAAGAATACTCTTGTCAAAGTACTTAATTTTGAAATTGTTTTTAGGGGTCCTGGCTAGAAAAATGGCTCAGAAATTGAGAGAGCTTACTGCTGTTTTAGTTTATGGCACCCACATGGCAGGTCACAATTACCTGTGACTCTGGTTCCAGGGAATCTAAAACCATCTTCTGGCCTCCACAGGTCCCTGAGTGCTTGTGGTGTACAACAACTCACGCACACAAACGCACATTCATACAAAGAAATGAAATTTTGGCAAATCATTTATTAAGGAGGTTGGGCACTTACTACATTAAATTTGGATATGACATCAATATAATCATGAAAATTTGAATAAATATACTAAGTATGCATAGCATTTGATATACTAAGCCAGGCTGATATGAAAGAGATCAGTACTGGGTTGGAGAGGTGGCTCGGCAGTTAAGAGCACTTGCTGTTCTTGCAGAGGACCCAGGTTCACTTCCCAGCACCCACATGGCAGCTTACAATCTTCTGTAACTCCAGCTCTAGGGGATCGGAGGCCCTTTTCTGGCCTCCACTGGCACTGGACACATAAGTAATACATATATATACATGTGGGCACAGGTCTGTGTACCTGAGAGAGAACAAATCTTTTTAAAGAAGGATCAGTATCTCACCCTTTTAGTGTCTGTCATGTACACGTGTGCAGATGCACGCATTTACGTGAATGTTTGTGGAGGCAGAGGACAGTTCAGAGTTGTTCCCCCGTGATAGTCCTCACTATTCATTCTTTTGATAAAGAAACTCCCCCCGGGCCTGGAGCTTGCCAAAGTTGGCTGGCTGTCCAGTGAGCTCCAGGCATCTAGCCATTTCTGCCTCTGTAGAGCTGAGATTGCAAGTGTGTGCAACCTTGCTTGGCCTTTTTTTGTGTGTATGCATATGTGTGGTGTATTTGAATAAACCCTGTTTATTCAAAACAGGGTTTTTCTGTATAGCCCTGGTTGTTCTGGAACTTGCTCTGTAGACCAGGCTGAGCTTGAACTCAGAGATCTGTCTGCCTCTACCTTCTGAGTGTGCCACCACAGCCCTGGTTTTTTTGTTTCTTCATTTGTTTTTTTTTTTTTTCTTTTTTTTTTTTTTCTTTTTCTTTTTCTTTTCTTTTCTAGAAAGTTTCTTTATATAGCCTTGGCCATCCTTGAACTTGCTTTGTAAACTGGACTGGCCTTTTAACTCAGAGCTCCACCTGCCTCTGCCTCAGTGGTGCTGTGAGGTACATCACCATGCCTGAATAGTTGGCTTTTTTTTTTTTAAAGATTTATTTATTTATCATTTATACAGCATTCTGCCTGTGCAGCAGAAGAGGGTACCATCTCACTATTGATGGCTGTGAGCCACCATGTGGTTGCTGGGAATTGAACTTAGGACCTTTGGGAAGAACAGCCAGTGTTCTTAACTTCTGAGCCATCTCTGCAGCCTGCTAGTTGGCTTTTTTTATATAGGTTTTGGGGGTTGAACTCAGATCTGACTGAGCATGTTCTTAGCCCCTGTCCTGTTTTCTTACTGCCATAAGTATTTTAGACTACTGCTTCTAAGAATCCCTTTGATTTGAACTTTTTCCTTCCTTCATTGTGATTGTGCCACAAGCTAAGAACGGGAAGTGGGGAAGTAGCTTTTATCTTTGGTTTAGTTTTCTCCTTGCATTGTTACTTATACCTTGAGAAGTAGAGTTCAGTTTTGTTTTACTTTGTTTGTGGTGCTGGAGCTCAAACCCAGGCTTCGGGTGTATTATAGCAAGCCCTCTTAGTACATATGTGTGTGTGTGTACACACGGACATAATGTCTATGCCTATATAGACGTGTACATATATATGTCTACATATGTGTAATACTTACATGTAGATACAGGAAATACAATTAACAACAACAAAAAAAAGAATTCATATTTTGAACCAGACAGTGTTCAGATCTTTATAGTTAACTTGCAATTTGTACTTAAAGAACGGAGACTTGGGATTTTTACAGCTATAGGGAATCTGTGGCATTTTCTCAACCCTCCAATATTGTCACCACATTAGTTTTCCTCCATCTTTTTTTTTTATTATTAGAAAAGGGTTTAATATGAGGAGTTTTGTTGTGTGTGGTTAAATTTATGCCTACTGAAAGTACAGCAATGAAGGGCTGCAGTAGACAAATCAGTTAATGCAGACAGACACGTTACATTTGGCTCATTATTCAGTATGAGACTGAAGTATTTTGTATTTTGTATAGTATTTAGTCTATCTTATTATTCACTAACAGAGTGGGATACTTTAGAACCTTTCTTTGTAAATATGTAAAGTTCTATGACTCAGTTTTTAGTTTTGGTCTTTTTATGTTCTTACTGTGACTGACCTTTTTGTTCATTTTTTTTTTTCCTTAAACTTCAGGCGTACAAATCCATTTGGAGAATCTGGAGGAAGCACAAAATCAGAAACTGAAGGTAGAACAGATTGCAGTTTTCATTCTAGAGTGACCCAGTAGTAACCTTTGAAGTGTGTTATTTGCATTTGTTCTGCTGCTATGCTCCGTTTTGATGATATTTTCACTTTAGAATTTTCTCAGTTCCACCCCTTAGTACTCTTAAGGCAACCAAAACCTAATACGACTTCAGAAGTTACTCATACAAGATTGTAGAATGTCATAGATGTATAGAATGTCATAGACTTTTGACCTCATAGGCAAGTTCTTAGTACATAAACTGTCCCTTAAGCTTTTTTGAAAAAATTTATTTGCATTTTCATACCTTCCACCTCCTGAGATCCTTGACTTCAGGAGCCCTGGGTAGTTGGCCAGTTTTCCAATATTGGTATACTTCCCCTGTTGTTGAGTGGGTTTTAAGTCTTAATTAGAGAGCTGCAACTGCCAGGGTGTGCACACCACCATTGTACCTTAGGGTTATTGTGCGGGCTAGTGGTCGTTGTGGCTCATAGGCATCATATCTGGGTAGGACTGTTGGTTGTTTCCCTCTTTTGGAAACTTGGATGGTGTCTTCTGGTACCATGAAAGCTGATTCTCAGGGAGGGAGGAGGCAATTCCAGCTCAGGGGTCTCTGGGCCAAGCATCTTAAAAGTTCATGGTGTCTTCAGCAATAGGGAACTTACTTTCTACCTCTCAGGGGCAACCAAGGGCACTGGAGTGTTGTGTTTTGGGAGTCTTTCAGACAGCTCTGACCAACAACTTGAAAGAGGCCTTCTCATGCCTGCTGTTGAGGTTTTGGTTAGATAGTCTTTGGCTCTTTGAGGGAATATTGTCAGCCCAAATGAAAAAAAATTATCTCATTTAAACTATATATGTATATTTATGCACAGACTTATGCGCATTATAGGCTTTTTGGTAGTTAGTTGAGTAATTCCTTATGGCTTTTTCAAACATACTGTTATTTTACCCTCCTTTTTCCTTCTGTGTATTTTCTTCCTTTGTGACTACAGACCCCATCTTTTCTTCCTATTTCATGATCAGACATCTATACTCTATTATAATCTTCTCTCTATTGCTTCTCCCCAGCCCCTGGCCTCAGCAATAATTCTTTTTGTTTTCCTGTTTCTGTAGTTACGTATGGATATATACTCTCATTTTAAGATTTGGAGCTAGGAATCTAAAATTAGAGAAAACACGTTATATTTTGTCTTTCTGGGTCTGGGTCATCTCACTCAATACAGTGAGCTTTAATTTCCTTGTCTTGGTTTATTGCTCCAGCTCGTGCTTTAAGCACAGTAGTGAAAGGAGTGGGGAACTGGACATCTCTATCTCGTCTTGCCTTTAGTGGGATTGTTTTAAGTTTTTTTCTACTTTGCATGATAATGGCTGTTTCATATATGGCTTTTATTATATTGAGCTGTGTTCCTTCTAGTCCTACTAGGACTTTTATCTTGAAGGCATGTCTGATTTTTGTCAGCGGCTTTTTCTGCATCTATTGAGATGATCATGTGATTTTTATCTTTAAGTCCATTTAGGTTTATTGCATTTGTTGACTTGTATATGTTGAACTATCCCTGCATTTCAGGGGTAAAGTCACGTTTGTCATAGTGCATAGTCTTTTTGGATTCTCTTAGTATTTAGTAAGTACTTTATTGAGAATTTTTGAATCTATGTTCATCAGAGATATTGGGCTGTGATTTTCTTGTTGCTGTTATTTGTTTTTACCTGGTTTAGATATTATATGGTACTGGCTTCCTAGAAGGAGTTTGGGAGTGTTTCTTCTGTTTTTGTTTTTTGAATAGTTTAAAAGGATTGGCTGTAGATCTTTGAAAGTCTGGTAGAATTCTGGCCCTGCTCTTACTTTGTCTGAAAACCTTTTTATTACTATTTTATTTTCTTCATTTATTACATATATGTTTAGGTTGCTGAGTTCTTGGTTTAATTTAGGTGGTTTGGCTGAATCTAGAAATTTGTTTCTTTTAGGTTTTCCAGTTTAATAGAAAAGAGGTTTTTAGAATATTCCTTTGCAATATTCTAAATTATGAATTTCTTTGGTGTTAAAATATTTCCTCATTCATTTTTGATTCTGTTTGTTTGGGTCCTCTCTTTCTTTTAGTTACTTGGGTTTTTGTGTCAGTCTTTATCTTCTCAAAGAACTAGTTCTTAGATCATTGATTCTGGGTTTTGTTTGTTTTGCTTCTCTTTTTCTATTTTATTGGTTTATACTCTGACTTATATTATTTCTTCACCAGGCTGGCCTCAAACTCAGAGATCCACCTGACTCTGCCTCCCAAGTGGTGGGGTTAAATGTGTGTACTACTACTGCCTGGCAATTATTGAGTTGTATCATTAATTATTTATCTGTGCTCTTTCTGATTTTTAATGTAGGTTTTTGGAGCCCTAAATTTCTTTCCAAGGACTACTTTCAATATGACTCAGAAGTTTTGTTTGATGTGTTTTCATTTTCATTTAGATCCAGGAAATTTTTTCTGTCTTGATTTTTTGTTTGACCCATTCATCATCCAGGAATGAGTCGTCTAGTCATCATGAGTTTGTGTACTTACAAACTAGGGCTTCACGGTCCTTGGTTGGAGTATCAGTGTCAGAATAGATCCATGTGCCCAGATATTTGGTTCTGTTCTGTTGCTCTCCTTGTGGAGCTCCTGTCCTCTCCAGGTTCCACTATCTCCCCCTTCATTCAAAGGATTTGCTTCACTCTGCCCAAAGTTTGGCTGAGTCTCAGCATCTGCTTTTATATTGATATTATCTGTTGAGTTCATTTGATGTATGATAGTGTCAGTTCTAATGTTTCTCTGTTAATTTTTTGTTTAGATGATCTGTCTATTGGAGAAAGTGGGGTATTAGAATCAGTACTTAATAACCTGTGTTTTTAAATCTATTAGTACTTTTTTTTTTTTTTTAAATGAAATTGGGTTCATTCACTAGCCTTTAGTGGATGTGTATTTAGGATTGCAATGTCTTCTTGGTTAAGAGTTCCTTTGGTTAGAATGAAGTGTCCTTCTTTATCTTTTATGATTAGTTTTAGTTTGAAGTCTGTTTGTCAGATAGGACAAACAGGATAGGACACCTGCCTGCTTCCTGCTCTCATTTGATTGGAGTACTTGTAGTGCATTCTTGTACTCTAACAGGATGCCTGCCTGTCTTTAAATCTGTGTTTCTCGTGAACAAAAGACAGATGCATTTTTTTTTTTTTTAGATTCAAGGTATGTTTATTTTTTACTCTTTTTTAAAAACACTTTTTAATGATTTGTGCATTGGTGTTTTGCCTGCATATGTTTGTCTGTGTGAGGGTGTCAGATTACCTAGAACTTTTATTACAGACAGTTGTGAACTGTCACGTGAGTGCTGGGAATTAAACCAGAGTCCTCTGAAAGAGCAGCCAGGACTCTTAACTGCTGAGCCATCTCTCCAGCTCCTATTTGTCACTCTTCAAGACTTATTTTTGACTCAGAAGTAGAAGCTCTGAGGTAGGACAGCCTACATCTCTGGCAATTTGTTTCTGGCACTTTTTTTGTTTCCATCATTCTCTTGGCCAAAAGTTTAGCATATCCTGCAGCCTGCTCCTTATGTTTTTGTTTGTTTGTTTTGTTTTGTTTTAGTATGTTGTTTCTTTACAACAGTATGTCGGTGTTTGTGTTACTGGACACAGGGAGTGACAAGAAGCTGAATCTTGGGTGCTTTGGTCCTGGGCTTCGTAGCTTCTTTTTTAAGGGCTTTCTGACAACATGTTGATGTACATCATTTTCTTTAGAAAGATTAAAAAGCTTTCTGATTCTGCTAGCTTTTTTAGGTCCCAACTGAGAAGGCACAGTAGTATCTGTCAGTCCAGGAACATCGTTCTCTCCCCCTTTTTTATAATAACCGAGATGAGAACACTCAGAGTGGCATCCACAGTGCATCCACAAATGGACTTGCGCTCCCTCTCTCCAGTTCTCCTTGGTCTATAACAAGGATGCTCTGTGCTCAGCTGCAGGCACACTCTACCATGGGTCACAGAATGCCTTGCTTCATGGGAAACCTTGTTTGTCATTCCCAGCACTGCTCTGGACCACTTAACCCTTCCACTCTTGACCCAGGACATCAGCAGCTACTTCTGTGGTCATGCGCTTCTCATAGAACATATGAAGCTTGCGCTAATTGTCCATGTCAATGAGTTTCTGACAGACAGTAGCAGGGAAGAAGATATTCAGCTTCATCCTGACACAGCTGACCACCTAGGACATGTTACCAAAAAAGAGAGGATTTTGTTTTTTGACCCATTCAGTCTGTGTTTCTTGTTTTCAGAATTGAGGCTGTTGATATTTAAGGTTATTAATGAAATGTGTGTGTTAATTTCAGTTATTGTGTTTTAGGTTCTTGGTGTTGTATTTTCAGTGGTATTTTGTATTTTTAATAATTATGGCTCTCTATTTCTACAGTCTCTTGGATATGCTCACTTCTCTTGGTCTCATGGTCTTTTAGGACTTGAATGTATTTCTAGTTTTCAGAGGTTCCATTGAGAAATCAAGCTATTATTTCAATGGACCTTTTTAAAAAAATATGTGGGGTGTGTTTGTGTCTTGCAGCTTTCAACACTTTCTTTGTTATGTATACTTAGTGTTTTAACTATGATATATGTGCTGGCTAGTCTTATGTCAACTTATGTCATACAAGCTAGAGCTGTCTGAAAGAAGGGAACTTTAATTGAGAGAAATGGCTTCATAATATTCAGCTGTAAGGCATTTTCTTAGTTATTGATGGAGGAGGGCCCAGCCCATTGTGAGTGGCTCCATCCCTGAGCTGGTGGTCCTGGGTTCTATAAGAAAATAGGCTGAGCAAGCCATGTGAGGCAAGCCAGTAAGCAGCACCCCTCTATGGCCTCTGTATCAGCTCCTTTCTCCAGGATCCTACCATTTGAGTTTCTGTCCTGACTTCCTTTCATGATAATCAGCAATGTAGAAGTGTAAACTGAATAAACTCTTTCCTCCCCCGAAGTGGGGTGGGAGGGAGGGAAAATGCAACTTTTTGCTCATGGTGTTTTGTTACAACAATAGAAACACTAAGACAATATATTATGGGGATTTTCTGTTTTGTCTATTTGGTATTCTGTACTTATTGTATTTGTGTAGGGATGTCTTTCCTTAGTCTGGGGAAGTTTTCTTCTATGATCTTGTGAAAGATCTGATCTATGCCATTGACATGGGATTCTTTTCTTTCATCTATGCCTATAATTAAAGGTTTAGTTTTCATGGGGCCTCACATTTCCTATATATTCATTTACTGTGTTTAAAAAAATTTATATATATATATATATATAATCTATCTATCTATCTATCTATCTATCTATCTATCTATCTATCTATCTATCTATCTATATTAGATTATTTGGTCTAGATCCTTTATCTTTTGTATTTTATTTGTAGGGCTTTCTTTTGAGTTTTCTGTTTGGCTTACTGGACATTTCAGGTCCATCCTCATTTCATTTGAGTCCTCTTCAACAATTCTGTTGCTATACTGAATTCTATTCTCAAGTCCTAGATTATCCTCATCATTTTCACCAACCTTATATTTTCTTGGGCATCGCTCAGATATTTGTTCTCAAGTTCTTTCTCCTTAGTTTTATTGAGCTGTTTCTTTGTGTCTTAAATTGTTTAAATTACTTGATGAAGTTTATTATTGTTGGTTTACATTCTGTGTCTTGGGGTTCACCTAGGCAAATCTCATTGGCAGACACTTCTATGGTACTGGTAGGTTTTGGAGAGGAAATACCAGCTTGAACTTTTCATATTGTTGGTATTCTTGAAATAAGATCTTGGCGTATGGACTTCTTAGTTTTATGTCTAGTATGGACAGCAAGTTGGGACACAAGAAAGGATGTACAGGGTTATCCCTAGAGGCGAGACATGGCTTAAGTGATAGGAAGGCAGATGGGCAGACTGGACTGGACTGGTGAAAAGGATATGTGTTCTGTTCCAAGCCTGGACTGTAGTAGTAGATGAGGTTGGATATCATATGGGAGGGGCTTACAGGTTGGGAATAAACAGGGTAGGTCTTGGGTAGAGGTTGGTTGAGGCTCAGGTATGGGGCCCAGATTAGGCCAGTGCACTTGACGTGGGACCCAGGTAGGTGGGGAGGGGGTGAAGGATGTGTGGAAGGGTATGTACAGTCTTTCAGTTCTATTTTTTTAAAGACATTATCAGATAACTAGGCTGCCTTCGAATATAATACATAGCCAAGGATGGCTTTGAACTCTAATCCTTTTGCCTCTCCTTTCCAAGTACAAGGATTGCAGGCATATGTCCCCATACCCAGCCAGTAGCTGGCTTTCTTGTTGATTTTATTGTGTGTTATGTGTGTGGTATATGTGTGTGTGTACATGTATGTGTGGTATGTATTCTCACATGCGCGTGTGCGTGCGTGCGTGTGTGTGTGTCTGTTTCTGTGTCCATATTGGGCATCTTCTTGTATCCTATTTTTTGAGACATGGCCCCTCACTGAACCTGGAGCTTGCTGGCCATCAGTTTCCTCTCTGTGTCTCTTCCTTATGCTGGGTTATAGGCACCCACTATCTCACCTACTCTTGCAGCCAGTCTTTATGTGGGTGTTGGGATCTGAACTCATGCCTCATACTTACGCAGCTTAACTCACAGCACACTGAACCCTGTCCCCTGCCCCAGCGACTGTTTTCCCCCCCCCTCCCTCCTTCCTTCCTTCCTTCCTTCCTTCCATTGTTGCAGAAAATAATGGGTATTGGGTGAACTTTGGCTACACCTACCCCATCTGCCCTGCCCAGCTTTAAGCCTTTTAATCAGCCAATCAGGAATAATTGGGGACATTACATTCTCATCACATGAGTACAGAAGATAGTTCAACATTAATAACAATACCCATGGCAGGGCAGTAACTAGATCTCTAGGCACTGAAATCAGCATTTGACTACATAGGACCAGACCAACCCCCAATCTATCTCCCTCCCTTCCTTCCTTCCTGCCTTCCTTCCTTCCTTCCTTCCTTCCTTCCTTCCTTCCTTCCTTCCT